AAGGAAGCCAAATCTTTAATTGTTACTGAAAAATATTTTCAACTATAATTTAGCAATCACCAGTTTCCACTAATTATATTTTACAAACCTCTCCTTATTTCAAATATTAGAACAACAAATTTCATATTGTTAAAGAATATTAATTTTCAATCGATTCTCTATTGATTGAATCTTAGTTTTTATTACAAAGGGGTTAAAGTATTACATAAAGCTGGGGTTAGTATAACATAACAAATTAATATAATAGATTAATACAAGATAATAGAAAATAACATACACAATAATAATCATGTTTAGAAAAATTGATAAATTAATTATCTTTCCGGGATTTAAATCTTATTAAATACTTTTTTTTTTTTGCTTGCTTCAAATTTCATAGAGTGAAAGTATACATGTTTCCAAGTTTCATACACTTGCATACTAAAATTACTACAAATTCTCTTATATAATAGTAGACTAATAATATATCCTATCAAAATATAATTTTCACTACATCTCAGTTGCAGTATTGAACATTTTACATAATTTATGTCCATAAACAAATAATCCTTGCACATAAAGTTGTTTTAATACTACAATATAATTGAAAATGTTTGTTTTTTCCAAAAAAGATCAATCTTCTTGTGTGGTTTGTATACTCTTATAATTAACATTTGATAGTTTTTGATCAAATGAGGATCTTGGGACAACCATAGGAAAGAGAAACTGTCAATCTAGCAAATTTTTCCATGCTAACAATCAATTATACGTAGAATTATCCATTGTTGAACACAATTTATACGTTTGTTATATGCTACTTTAACATAACTTCTATCAACTAATTTCAAACATCTAATCCAAAATGAAACTATTGTACATCTTTTCATAAAATTATAGATTTTAAAATAAAAAGTGGTATCCACATGTGCATTTTTATCATGTTTTTAAAATGAATTCTATATCAAATTAATTAGACTGTTAGCAATTATATAATTTAAGTTTTGTTTTCAATTATTCTATTCCAGTTTTTATACAATAATTTATAATTGTATCCTAGTTATGTACTAATTTTTATTTTGTTAAATTAATACTTTTGATTATGTATTAATTCAAAAATTTTAAAAGCAACATAAGCTGTTTTAATTAAAGCATTTCACTCATTCATTTTTTAAATTTGATGCATAAACTGTTTAAAAAATTTGAAACATATATACAAAGACAAAGAATTTAAAAATATTAGATCACAATTATGATTGTAGCTTTGAAATCCATTTAAAAAAAGTGACATTTGTATTTAGATCAAGGACTATCAAGCAAAACAAACTGCCTTGAATTCTGAACAATTATATAATTATAAATGGGTGATAAATGTTTTTTTTTTATAATGTTTAGATCATTTATATTTTTATTTTGATATTGTTAGTTTATATTATTACATGAATAATAACTTTTTTATTTTTATTATATGTAAGTTTTCAAAAATAACATGATTGAGTTTCTCATAGTAGTATTGTTATATTCCTAAATAATGTGTGTATGTGTTAATTAATATTTTCTATTTAAATCTGTTGTAAGGTTGAAGATCTCTGTGACAAATTTGTAGTAGAATATTTGCAATGTTAGCTGCAATTTAACTTGTAATTGATATTTAAAATTTTCAAATTTTAAATATCAATTATAATTGACTTTTGTAAGGAATGAAATAGTAATTTTTTTAAAACTTAGATCTTTTAATGACTAATTTTATCAATTGTAAACATGCTATAATGCAATTACTATATCTAATTGACTTTTGTAAGGAATGAAATAGTAATTTTTTTAAAACTTAAATATTTTAATGACTAATTTTATCCATTTTTATCACATTTCTTCACAATTTTAAACTTACAGTTGATAGTTCTCGATAAAATCCTATTGATCTTATACCGTAAACGAAGTTTTAGGGTAATTTCTTAAGTTTACAACGAAAATAAATTAGATCTATTAGTAAATAATAACAAAATTTTACATTTTATTAATTAAGCATCAATTTTTAATGTCTTTCTCAATAATTTTAAACTTATAATTACTATTTTTNTATTGAAAATCTTTTAAAACAAGATTTTTAATAGTTCAGAGTGAAAGAAAATCTACAGTACCATCTAACATAAAATAATTACTGTACTACAAAATATACAAAAATTTACCTCCAATCAACCTCCAGTCACTGTCCAGTCAATGTATACACATGTGGGTTACAAGATATATGTGCAAATTCATATATATATTAACTATGTACATTAGTGACTATTTCTATTTGTAGTTAAATTTTAATTAAAAAAGTATTGGCTGTTCAGTGGCTATTTTTGAGTTAGTGACATTTGCATTATAGCATTGCAGTGGCACTTTGGGAAAAGTGTTATATTCTTTGTTAACATGGAATTGGTGTTATTATCAAGTTTTGCTAGTGAAGAATAATTTATTTGATCCTAGTGTTAACTTATAGAGGTATAAATTAGATTACATTTTTTTTTAATTCCACGACAAGTTTTACAGAATGTCAAGTTATTGAGAGACTGGGATTCTACTGCAGTAGTTCTTACTTTTTTATACTCACGGCCCACTAAATATTTCATAATTTTTTGTGACCCCCATTTTTTTTAATAATAATTTATATTTGTTATATTATCTATAATAAATTCATTTTTTATTATTGCTTTATTTTTATATATATATATAAAACATAACTTTATTATTTCATTATCTATTTAAATAACATTCAAAACTTCATAATTAAACATAAAAACTTGTTAATTTTTACAAAAAAAGAAAATAAAAAAAATTTAAAAATTCATAGAAAAAACAAAAAATATTCGAAAATAATTTAATGAGATTTCTGCTGTTGAATATCCTCAACTAATTCATTAATTCTTGGTTCAATCGTTTGTATTTGTAATGCTATCCACATGCAGAATCTAATTGCAAACGATTGCTTTTTTTTGTTTTTATATTCACTATAGTTGAGAACCCTTACAAATATTAAACATGGCAGGTTTTAATAATTCTTCAGCTATTGTAAATGGCTATTTTGCTTTAGCAACGTGAAGAGCTGCAATAAATGAAACTTAATAATTCTTTATTTTTAATAGTTGTCACATTTATGAGCATCTTTTGATTTTTAATTCGTCTTTTTTTCTTATAAAAAAAAATCCTGCATTTTGTTTTTATATTGTTAGTGCTTAGAATTTAAATGCCTCAACAATTTATTTGGTTTCATTGCTTCATTAGAGAGAACTACACAGCATATGACACATTGTGGTTTTGTAATTCCCTAAACTTCTATGCTTATGAATTCATATTTGATATAATCACAATCGTATTTTCTAATTTTAATGTTACTTAATTTTATACCTTCAGCTTTAGGACTTGTGGTTTTTTCCGTTGCATTTTTTACTGTATCATCATCAGAACTTTCACTAGTGTTTTCTTCACTATATTTTCTTTTTGAAGGTCTTGGTCCATGATTACTTACATTAAAAAATTTTCTAATGTTCCTTTCTGTTTTTTGCTCATTTTTACAGGTTAATTATAAATAATTAAAACTAAACACACAATATAAGAAAGAAATGCACTATTATTCTATCCAAAGTCGATGCTAAAACTAAACTAAAACTAAAACACCCACAACTTGTTGTAAAGATTTTGCATATCTTTTGCAAAAACATTAAATTTTCAAAGCCTACTACTAAGCCTACTATTTTTCTTAATTATTTTTAAAATTCCAAGCATTAATAGTTTCTTAGAATTACTTTGGAATAAAAGAAGTAAATACTGTGGTGTAAGTAGCATATTTGCATTTATTTCTTCTGTACTAACAAAGTTGTATATAGGAAGAAATAAATAATAAAAAACTAAATACAAAAACTTTATCTTTCTTATTTCACTTTTCAATACAATATTCGGTTATACATCAATTTTCTTTTTATTATATTCTGAAGGAAATTTTGCATAATTTGGCGGTCCCCAGCAAACTTCTTATGGACCCCCATGGGGCTGCAGCCACCCTGTTAAGAAACACTGCTCTACTGTAATGCTATTTTAGTTGATACAATGTTTTACAGTGATATTTTGTTATTGATATTCATATAGTTGTAATATTCTTAAATGATTCAAATTAACAACAAATATATTTTATTGTTTTTAAAGTATCACTAATAAACTATTGTATTTGAACTAATATTTTTGATTTAACAGTCATTATCAGATTCTGTTCTAAAAATTATTGTATTTTTATTATATGAATATTTACTTTTATATTACTTGCATTTTATTTTTTTCATATTTACAAATTTTTAATTATATTTTTATCCTTAATTTATTATAATTAAAAAGTATTCATTATTTAGATATTTAATATTTAATTTCAGGTTAATATTGCACTCATAACATTTATGTAATGTTTAAATATTCAAACTATGACACGAAAAATAAATAAATCACACTTAAGTAAAGATGAATGTGAAAAAATTCTTGCTGTAATTCAACGTGATTGCAATTTGCGACAAAAAGAACAGGAACGTTTAAGGTAAGAAGTACATTTTTGTTAAAATTTACAAAAAATTTTTATTGCATGTATGTAAGAATATTTCAAATATTTTGTTTGAAATTAAATATTGCTTACAGTAGTGTTATACTATTTACTTATTAAGAATATCTGAACATTAAAAATCCATTATTATAAGGAGTAGATCTTTAATGTTTTTAATGTTCATCTATTTATTCCCTAATTGANCAAATATATTTTATTGTTTTTAAAGTATCACTAATAAACTATTGTATTTGAACTAATATTTTTGATTTAACAGTCATTATCAGATTCTGTTCTAAAAATTATTGTATTTTTATTATATGAATATTTACTTTTATATTACTTGCATTTTATTTTTTTCATATTTACAAATTTTTAATTATATTTTTATCCTTAATTTATTATAATTAAAAAGTATTCATTATTTAGATATTTAATATTTAATTTCAGGTTAATATTGCACTCATAACATTTATGTAATGTTTAAATATTCAAACTATGACACGAAAAATAAATAAATCACACTTAAGTAAAGATGAATGTGAAAAAATTCTTGCTGTAATTCAACGTGATTGCAATTTGCGACAAAAAGAACAGGAACGTTTAAGGTAAGAAGTACATTTTTGTTAAAATTTACAAAAAATTTTTATTGCATGTATGTAAGAATATTTCAAATATTTTGTTTGAAATTAAATATTGCTTACAGTAGTGTTATACTATTTACTTATTAAGAATATCTGAACATTAAAAATCCATTATTATAAGGAGTAGATCTTTAATGTTTTTAATGTTCATCTATTTATTCCCTAATTGATTTGAAAAAAGCTTACTAGTTTGGACATTAACAGATTTATAATGCATAACAATTGTGTAAATTAACTCACTAAGAATAAAGAACTAGTCTAAATTTTTTTTTGCATTTTGTTTAATAATGTATCATGCTATTTTAATGAATATGGCATGATATGATTTATGACAAAATGTAATGTTATAAAATTAAATAGCTTTTAGTCAACAACAGATTTTCTGTTAAGAACATCAGATGTTGGCTAAAGAGCTAGTAAAGAAATAACTCTTTAAGGAAATTATTTAGTTTTTAAAACATTTAAATTTATTAAACTGTATGTGGTAAAAGATGTTTTTACTATTAAAATGTTAATCATTGTCACTATGAACTTAAAGGTTTAAAAGAGATAAAACACCACTTATTGGACTGGAATGATATAGTAACTACTTCACTCAAAAGCTTTAAATTATTTTCCAGTAACAGTTAATATGAAACATATGTTTTTTTTTTTACTAATGTTTTCAATCTTTAATTGGAGATCTTCAGGTCTTGATTCTATATTCGTTGATGAAATGCTTAAATTGAACAGTGATGTTTTTTGAAAAATTTTAAATAATTTTTAAAGAGATTCTTGGGATATATAAAATAGAAATAAAAGTAATGATAAATATATAAAATTAGAAAGTATACAATTAAAATCAATATTTAAAGACTGTATTTGTATTTTAATTGTATACTTTGTCATAAGTTGGAGACTGATTGTATGTTGAAAGCTATGTGCTCTTTAAAAATGGCAGAAAATCTTAATGTAGAATACTGAAGTGTTTTAAAAATAATTTCCAATCAACAGGTTAAATTACATTAAATTGTTTAGTTAATTAACTAGTTAACTTTTTTAACTATACTTTTTTAGTTAACTAAAAAAAGTATAGTATAATATATTCTTAATTTTGATCTGTACTATATTCTGAAATGTTACTGTTCTAGAAATACTAAAAATTTAGTAAATAAACAAGATGTTTTTGCAGTCTCATTTACAAAAGTAGCAATACATATGTTCAGTTATAAAGAAAGTTATTTAAGAATATAAGAATAATATACTCTGTTCAGTAGATCAAATTATTATTATATTTCCAATTTCTCTTTAATGTGACACCAGAATGAAATAGAATGATAAATGGAACAACAACAAAAAAGTGGAAGTAGGCAATGTGAATAAATTCTAATTAAATGAAAATAATACAAAGAAAATCTCATACTAATTCCATATTGTTCAGCTTTTTACAAATAATCAAAAAATGTAACACAAACCTGATCTAATACAGGAAGTGTTACTTATCTCTACGATAACCTCTTTGCATGATAAATAACAGTATTGTAAATATTGAAATTATTTTATTTGAAAGTGTTATTACTTACAAACTTAGCTATGCCATTTCTTTTATATTTTTTAATAATTAATAATTACATAGTTTGGTTTATATTTATTTGAAATATATCTTATTCTCATTTAATAAATTTGTACATGTTTTTTTGTATACATTGTTTAAATGCTATTTTTCTTGAAATTAGGACCTGCTTGAATGAATTCCTTTTATACAGTCATATTCTAAGTCAAAACATTCGATTTTGTATTACACAGATATGAAATATTGTTATGTTTATATGAGATAATATATTTAAAATTAATTATAAATTTTAATTGTATGTAAAACTGAACAAACTTTAGAAATATCATAAATATGTTGTAATGGAATGAAAATTATTTAATACACAAATAAATGTTTAGTTTAATTAAGAGTAAGTTTAAAAATTTATTTGCATGATATATTTTCATAAATATTATTAAATAATATATATAGAATTATAACAAGTTATAAATTTAACAATTTTAAGATGGAATGTTGCNCTGTCATCTGATAAGTTGATTTTATTTATTAAAAAAGTAGTAGTACTCAATATACACAACAACTCACAACCAACCAATAACCGGTGTGAAAATCTTCAAAAACTGCAAATATTTTCGATACCCCTCCTGGGTTCTTCCTCAGGCTTAATTTATATCAGCCATAATAATGTGAGTGTTATAAGAAAGATACAATAAAAAAAAAATAGTATACAAATTAATATTGTAAATTTATTCATAATTTCTGATTAATTATTTTATTATTTTTCTGTTATTTTTGTAATTGTTTTTCATGGATAATTTAATATTAATTTTTTGTTGTCTTATAATTTAGTAAAATTGAGGAAGAACTGAATGAAAAAGCATCACAAAGAAGTGTTTTAGCAAAGCGTAAAGAATTTAATGAAAAATGGTGTATATTGTGCTGTTCAACTTTTAATTTACTATTTAATAAGAAATTTTATTGTCATGATTGCCATTTTTATGTTTGTCGACATTGTGCTGTTTGGGAAAGCCAAGAAAAAATTTGGTTGTGCAGATTATGTGAACATCAACGGTAAAAATTTATATTATATTAACATTAGCACTATTATTTAAACAATGATCTGATCATATAATGTACATTAATAAATATTTTTATTTGAGTTAAAAATTATTAATATTAAGTAAATAAAACTACACCAATGTAACAGCAGATTAATTTTGCATTGAATGTTCTCAATCTACTTCATAAACTCTTTTCATGATTCTTTAGATGCTGTTATTTTGGTGTGGTTTTATTTATTTGTTTCCTGTTACAGCAGCACGTATATCAATTACTAATAATCTTCAAAGTGAAATTGTTTTAATTGATGCAATTTCTTTGCCAAATATAAGTAGAATTATGAATTTGATTTTATTGTTAAATTAGTTTTTTTACTTTCTTGTTGAACAGTATTATATTTATAGTATGATTATATTTTTCTTATTATATTAATATTGCCATTGTATTCTGTATGGTAGTGTGACCAATCAAATTGAGCTTTCTCATATATTTATTGTTTTGACCATCTTTCTTTGATGATTATTACTTGCTGAATGATTGGTATTGTTTTATAAGCTTTTTATTAATTTATAAATTGCATTAAAGCAAAGTGATTTATATGATTATTATATATGAGCATGATTTACAAAAATTGTTTTAATTTTTTTATGCAGATTTTCAATTATTGCAATACTTTGACATAATTTTGCTTTTAGTTTTGTGATATTTTTAGCATGAATGTAAGGATAACTGTAATTTTATATTTTGTTAAATTTATATTTTGTAGATAGAATCTGCAATTTTAAGAAAGCATGCTGTAATCTTTCAGTACAGATATCCCTTGTATTACATGGTAGTTACGTTCTGAAAAAGTGTCGTGGTATGTGAATCCATGCTATATGAAACAAAGGATTAATGCAAAAGATAGGGTTGTGTTCCAGAAGTTAGCAAAAGTATACTATTCTTTTTCATTACTCAGAGAATTATGTTTATTAAAGTAATCAATAATTAACTAATAATCACAATTAAAAGTATTATATTATGTGTTAATATTAATTTTAGTTAAATGAGTGTGTTTTCTTTTTACAAAGCATTGTCATCATCTCAACTTTTTTGTTGTTCTTGATCAGATGTATCAGCGACATTTTTATATTTTTTTTATATTTATCATAAAAAAATGTTTATGGATGACAAAATAAAAATATGTTATTAATTGAAAATTTGTTCTGGTGGGTTGTATTTGTTCATTCGAGAGCTGAGTGACTTTTTTTCAGAATCTGTGTTCAAATACTAAATTGTATGAGTACTGAGACTTACCTAAAAATGTTTAATAAACTTTACTAAATACGAAGATTAATCTATAAAAAAACAGAGTGACAGCTTAAGGGCTAAAGCGTGAAAGCAACAATCACACCAATAACTGTTGTATAGGAAAGTTAGTGCAATTTTTTCTTCCTTGTCCTATCAGTTTCATTAAAGTAAACCTGACAAAAAACACAAAATAATTTGAAAATTTCAATATTCTAAAATTCACAGACAAATTTGAGTCAACATGCATGCTTACTTGAATAAAAATTAATATAGAATAATGAAGTTTAAACTTAAAAATTGTGAAATTTTGTATGGAGAATTTCCAAAACCATGTCGGAGCAAAACCAGAAGTTGCATTGTATGGAAGATATCCCCAATTTTCAAACTGTGTTAGAGCAAAATCATGTCGTAGAAGTACTGTGTTGTAGAAGGGATATCTGTATATGCATTTTTTTCCTCAGCACTTTAATGCAGGCTCCTGAATTATTTTTAGTTTTTGAAACTGGATATAAATAAAAACATTTTGTTTTTACAAATAATAGTTTAAATTTGCTCTAATAATTTTTCAGTAATTTTGAATAATTGGAATAAAATATTTTTATATGACTTTTAAAATACGATTTTATTTCTAGCATTTTGTATATACAATCTTGTGAATGGTTTTATGATCATGTAAGAAAGAAATTTAAGCATTTTGGAAGCTCTAAAATATTTATAAAAACATTACATAAAAAGCGAAAAGAATGTAAGTATAGTTTTAACAATCACTAAAATTACAAAATAAATGTAAAATTAGGTAAAATTAATTAGAATATATCAAATTGATAAGAAAAGTCACAAAAATTATTAAATATGTTTTGATTTAAAAAAGTTTGTTGTTTGATCAAAAGATTTTTTTAAATAAAGAAAATTAAAATATTTTTGATAAGATCAACTTATCAACAAGTGAATTTATATCTTTGTTCTGTCATCTGATAAGTTGATTTTATTTATTAAAAAAGTAGTAGTACTCAATATACACAACAACTCACAACCAACCAATAACCGGTGTGAAAATCTTCAAAAACTGCAAATATTTTCGATACCCCTCCTGGGTTCTTCCTCAGGCTTAATTTATATCTTCCATTGGAACTAGATTCTTTAATTCAGATGTTTTTTAAAAAGTTGGAACATGCCGTTTCCGAAAATTCCAAACATGGAAGGACTTCCATTGGACTGGAATTAAAGAATCCAGTTCCAACAGAAGAAATAAATTAAGCCTGAGGAAGAGCCCAGGAGGGGCATCAAAAACATTTGCAGTTTTTGAAGATTTTCACACCGGTTATTTGTTGGTTGTGAGTTGTGTATATTGAGTTTATACAACCCAGTGTGGTGAGAAAGTACATAAAGTAGTAGTAAATTAAATAGTTGTTTGTACTTTCTTTAAAATAATTGTATTGATAAAAGTTTGAATGTCCTGAGTTGTTAATAGAGCTTATTTTGAACTTTTTGTAATGTTAACTTTGTTTATCATAATATTAACTACAATTTAAATTAATGTTTTTTTTAATACTGTATTTCTTTGATTCTAAGATGCACTTTTTGACCTATTTTTAATTTTTAAGGAAGAGATGCATCAATTGATGGCTTTTACAATTGCACTCTAAAATGACAATTAGCAATAGTCATGAATAGACCATGTAATACATTATGTACAGTAATAGATCAGTAATATCACTCAATGCTGATGCTCAGTTTAAATGAGTTTTATTGGTACATTTATGAGTGTTACATTTAAATGCTTTTTTAATATTTAAAATATTGTTGAGATGACATTATGATGCAACATTAAAATGAATAGTTATTGTATATGTGGAAGCGTATGAAAATAGAACTCAAGAACAGTACCTATAGTATCTATTTTATAGAATTTGTATTGTTTTTCTAACTTGTTAAATAACAAACCTTAATAAAATCAATTACTTAAAAAATTTTTCCTTCCATAAAAATTTTAAAATTTGATTTCAGATTCATAGTGCATCTTAGAATCAGTGGTTTCTTAGAATCTAGAAATATGATATGTGCATGTGTATGTCTTAATATGTATATATTAATAAATTGACATTTTTCTGGATTGATTTACTATAAGTATTTACAGAAATTACATTTTTAAGATTATTAAGATTACATTTTTCTCAAAATGTCATTGTTGTGCAGAGCAAAAGAATTGCTCTCTAATTTTTTGATTTACATTCTTCAAAAAGATGTTTTACAAAAATACTATAGAGTGACCAATCAAATTGAGCTTTCTCAGATATTTATTGTTTTGACCATCTTTCTTTGATGATTATTACTTGCTGAATGATTGGTATTGTTTTATAAGCTTTTTATTAATTTATAAATTGCATTAAAGCAAAGTGATTTATATGATTATTATATATGAGCATGATTTACANCTTGAAATTTTTAATGTTTTGTTTTGCTTTTTTACAGTATATGAATTTATTAAATTTTAAATACTTAATCAATGATAGTAATGTAATTTCATACGTAGGTTTTAAACTCAGAAAAAGAACTATGATACATTCAAATATAATTTTTTGCAGAATCATTCTAAAAATTTGTAGTATAAACTGGATGAGAAAAGAAAATATGGAATATATATAATTTTCATAATTAATTTGAAAATCTTTATTTAATAATAATACTACAGTAGAGCATCGATTATTCGACACAATTGGGGACTGGGGTTGGTCGAATAAGTGAAAAAAATGGATAACCGGAAAATATGAAAAAAATACATTATTAGTATATCTCATGTAATTAGTATATTAGTATATCACTATTAACCTACTTTGCGTTGAATTTTCATCGATGTTAAGCCTAACAAAAATTTTTTTTAAATAATAATCGTTGCTATTGTATTGTTAAAAATTAGAAAATTAAGCCTCGTTTAAATACTGGCTCCCTTTCATGGTTGAGCCAGTGTTGCCAGCTACAACATGTAAAAGTACTATTAAAGTAGCTAAGACATAGCCAAATATTGTAGCGCCACATCACTAGGAGACATTTGAAATTTGCTGACTAGAACGGTCAGTTAACCGATGTGACGGTTAATTGGGGGTCGGATAATCGATGCTCTACTGTATTTCTTTCAACCAAAAGAGCAATTAATTTATAATGTTAACTGTAAATTAATACAGCTGATAGTGAAAATGATTCTGGTTATGGTCCTACAAATGAAAGTGGAACATCTAGATCAGTAGTTGCACTGCTTTATCCTAGAAATCAAAATGAAATAAAACAGGAAGAAGTTGGAGATTCTGTTTCTATAACAGGTAAATATACATACAAACAGATTTATTGCATAAATAAGTTTTTGCATACTTAAATGTGCAATGTTGAAATTATAGATTAATTCTCCAAGAATTAACTATCAGGCTAGAACTTGCTTAGTTTAAGTCCAATAGTTAATTCTTGGATAAGTAATTTGATCCTGATAATTAATCTGACCATGTTATGTATAATTTTTTTTTTTCATTATTGATTTGAGAATTTTATTCTGTTGTACAAAATGTTTTTATTTTTTTATATTTGTTGAAAATTTGTAATTTTTATTTTATTAAATTATTTTAAATCATTAAAAATAAAATTGTTTTTTCTGGAAGCCAAAGTTTTTTTTATACAAAGAATGCTTTCAACTTACCTTCAGTTTTTATTAATTTGTATGTACAAATGTTTGAAAAATGGAATATACATTACATACATATAAATTGAAAAATAATATTTAAATTATAAATCAATAAATATAAATTAAGAAATAGTATTTACTTTTAGATTTGTTAAATTTAGAAAAGTAACAATGAAATGTTTAAATATAACAAAGTGAAATAAAAGTGAAGGTAAGAACAAGATATTTTAAAATTAATTTTTGATACAATATAATTAATAATGTGAAATTCTAAAAAGCAATATTTAAATTATTTAAACCTGGAAATAAGATTCATGATAAAAGTGAAGAAATCTTTGGGGGCTAAGATTGTGATTTGAGTCTTACCTGACTTTGGTTTTCTGATAAATAGAACTATCTCCCACTTTTCTTTGCCAACATATATAGAACAAGAATGTAGTAGATTTTCATAGGTGATGACAACAAATGATTTTCTTATTAACTTAGACAAAAATTATAGAAGGATTAATCAACTCACATCTAAGTGCATCTAAAGTGTGAAAATTTTAATACAGAAATATGGTGGAGGAAAAATTTACTGTTATTGTCACTGTTACTCTCTGTACATAAACATATCAAATATGAAATTGCATGTCAGACATTTACCAATAGCCATATAAATTTAAAAAAAGAAAACAANAATACTACAGTAGAGCATCGATTATTCGACACAATTGGGGACTGGGGTTGGTCGAATAAGTGAAAAAAATGGATAACCGGAAAATATGAAAAAAATACATTATTAGTATATCTCATGTAATTAGTATATTAGTATATCACTATTAACCTACTTTGCGTTGAATTTTCATCGATGTTAAGCCTAACAAAAATTTTTTTTAAATAATAATCGTTGCTATTGTATTGTTAAAAATTAGAAAATTAAGCCTCGTTTAAATACTGGCTCCCTTTCATGGTTGAGCCAGTGTTGCCAGCTACAACATGTAAAAGTACTATTAAAGTAGCTAAGACATAGCCAAATATTGTAGCGCCACATCACTAGGAGACATTTGAAATTTGCTGACTAGAACGGTCAGTTAACCGATGTGACGGTTAATTGGGGGTCGGATAATCGATGCTCTACTGTATTTCTTTCAACCAAAAGAGCAATTAATTTATAATGTTAACTGTAAATTAATACAGCTGATAGTGAAAATGATTCTGGTTATGGTCCTACAAATGAAAGTGGAACATCTAGATCAGTAGTTGCACTGCTTTATCCTAGAAATCAAAATGAAATAAAACAGGAAGAAGTTGGAGATTCTGTTTCTATAACAGGTAAATATACATACAAACAGATTTATTGCATAAATAAGTTTTTGCATACTTAAATGTGCAATGTTGAAATTATAGATTAATTCTCCAAGAATTAACTATCAGGCTAGAACTTGCTTAGTTTAAGTCCAATAGTTAATTCTTGGATAAGTAATTTGATCCTGATAATTAATCTGACCATGTTATGTATAATTTTTTTTTTTCATTATTGATTTGAGAATTTTATTCTGTTGTACAAAATGTTTTTATTTTTTTATATTTGTTGAAAATTTGTAATTTTTATTTTATTAAATTATTTTAAATCATTAAAAATAAAATTGTTTTTTCTGGAAGCCAAAGTTTTTTTTATACAAAGAATGCTTTCAACTTACCTTCAGTTTTTATTAATTTGTATGTACAAATGTTTGAAAAATGGAATATACATTACATACATATAAATTGAAAAATAATATTTAAATTATAAATCAATAAATATAAATTAAGAAATAGTATTTACTTTTAGATTTGTTAAATTTAGAAAAGTAACAATGAAATGTTTAAATATAACAAAGTGAAATAAAAGTGAAGGTAAGAACAAGATATTTTAAAATTAATTTTTGATACAATATAATTAATAATGTGAAATTCTAAAAAGCAATATTTAAATTATTTAAACCTGGAAATAAGATTCATGATAAAAGTGAAGAAATCTTTGGGGGCTAAGATTGTGATTTGAGTCTTACCTGACTTTGGTTTTCTGATAAATAGAACTATCTCCCACTTTTCTTTGCCAACATATATAGAACAAGAATGTAGTAGATTTTCATAGGTGATGACAACAAATGATTTTCTTATTAACTTAGACAAAAATTATAGAAGGATTAATCAAATCACATCTAAGTGCATCTAAAGTGTGAAAATTTTAATACAGAAATATGGTGGAGGAAAAATTTACTGTTATTGTCACTGTTACTCTCTGTACATAAACATATCAAATATGAAATTGCATGTCAGACATTTACCAATAGCCATATAAATTTAAAAAAGAAAACAAAATAAGAAATGGATAAAGTCAGAATATATGTGGTTAAACATCATTATTACATTAGTTCTGCATTTATATCATTAAATAAGAGAATAAAAGAACATTTAACATGTTTTTTTATATATGGAATACCTTTTTAGCCCAGTGGACAGTAATTTGTGAAGTTATATCAAATGCTCTCATTGTTTCACAGAATTAAAAAATTGCAGTTCCTCAAGCTATTAGAACATATACATATACATATGTAGTCTAGAAATATCAAAGGGATTGATTCTAAACTTAAATCAATTGATTCTATATACATTAAAGGTGATTGAAGTTAGACTTGGACCACAATCTTAAACTGCAAAGATTTGCTTTTTTTCTATTATCACACATTGTATTTTCAACTTTTCAAGCAATATTTAATTACAATATTGCTTTTAACATCTTTCTGTTGCTACCATATCAAAAATTTATTTTAAAATTAATTTTTGATACAATATAATTAATAATGTGAAATTCTAAAAAGCAATATTTAAATTATTTAAACCTGGAAATAAGATTCATGATAAAAGTGAAGAAATCTTTGGGGGCTAAGATTGTGATTTGAGTCTTACCTGACTTTGGTTTTCTGATAAATAGAACTATCTCCCACTTTTCTTTGCCAACATATATAGAACAAGAATGTAGTAGATTTTCATAGGTGATGACAACAAATGATTTTCTTATTAACTTAGACAAAAATTATAGAAGGATTAATCAACTCACATCTAAGTGCATCTAAAGTGTGAAAATTTTAATACAGAAATATGGTGGAGGAAAAATTTACTGTTATTGTCACTGTTACTCTCTGTACATAAACATATCAAATATGAAATTGCATGTCAGACATTTACCAATAGCCATATAAATTTAAAAAAAGAAAACAANTACTCATAATGCAAAACATTTTTTCCATAGAAATTAATGTAAAATACGATAATGCATTCCATGCCGGAAAAATACTCAAATATTTTATGTATAATGTTTATTCAAAGAAAGTTACACAATATTCATTGTTAAGAGGCATGAATCATCTTCATCTTTTCTTCTAGCACAGAATGAACCAACCTGGAATGTGAATTCGATTTTCAGAAAACAAAAAATCACAGATAATATGTCTGATAAACATGCCAAATGATATGTCTTGGGCTATGTAAAGGTTATAATTAATTAATTTGACTAGAGGTAGGTAGTTATGCTGCCATCTCATATTAAATTTAATAATTATAAATAAATAATTTTTAATTTAGGCATTTAAAAAATTTAATTTGGAATTGGTCATTAAATTTAGTATGAGCTGGCATGTTTATTATATAATGGGCTATGATTGTTGATGTTTATACGTAATATGTGTGAATACAAGTTTGGAAAAATGTGTGATCATAAATGACACTAAGATGCTAGCGGAATGAGTACTAAACACAGACTGATGGAGCATGCACACAATCCGGGATTTCCTCTCTCCTTGTCACTTGTTATGCAAAACAGCACTCATTAAGTGAGTCAAGGTTTTTACAATTTGTTTTGCTCGTTATGCGAGGTTCTCGTTAAACGAGGTTCCACTGTATAGATAATTATAAAAATTTATATGCTTTGCTTAATTTGAAATTAAATCCCCAGAGTAATAGGCTGATATCTTTACCCCTTTAGTTATCTGGCTGATGTCAATCTATAATAATTATTAAAATATATGACAATTAGTTATTTATTTTTAGAGAATATTATTTTTAAGTAAGAAGCACTGTATAAACTATTTATTTTACATTAGATCTATTATTAAAACTGTAAATCATTAATAATAACAATAACTTTCTTAGAATCTCATTGTTCTCAAGCAGATGATGAGGATGATATGGGAGAAATAAGACATCATATTGAAACAGTTGTAGAAGGACTGATTGGAGGGACATCTCTTGATACAGCGCGTGTTGATTGTCTTTATGATCATCCTTTGTGTAAGTATTAATTTAATAAGGACACAAAATTAATATATACTTGAAAATTTTGAGATGCTGAAACTAATTTTATATAAGTCAAGAATTTATTTCTTATTATTTATATTTTGGTGAATCTCTACTAGATTTTTTTGAAAAATTAGCAAAATTCATTGAGTTGAGGATAAGTGTCTCTGATAATATTGAAAAATCGAAAAGCTCAGAATAAGTGCAGTTTGACAAATTATATTTTATAAAGCTACTATTATTTATCTAAGAATTGCATTCTTTAATAACACAACATTTTTTTCAATATTATATTTAACTGATACTTAAATAACATGTATTGTTGAATATATGTTAAGGATATGATGTTAAATAAATTATTTTCTGCATTAATCTAATAATATAAGCATAAGTGGAAAAATAGTAAATCATATTTTATCTAAATTGTTAATATATGAATTTTTTAAATGCTTTAATGTTTTATTTAACAAAATTGTTTGATTACAGTAAACACAAAATTGAATGGATATCAATATTTCCTAGTGAACATGGACTATAAGAAAAGAATTAAAAAATTTTGTTTAATCAATTAAAATTTTTACAAATTGACAATTTTTTCATCTTTCTTCCTCTCATTGACTAATCACATGTCATATGTCATTACAGAGAAGTTTATACAAGTTTTGGTTCATTCTATAATAAAGCTTAATCCCTGCATCATTCACTGTCCTCCTATAAATATTAATATTAATATTTTTAAGAGATTTGTTATAATTTACTATTTTATAGCCAATCTTATTCTCTCCATTTCTTGCCTATGTGCCCTGTCAATATTTCTTTATTAGGCGTTCCACTAACTCCTACCCATACCCTAACTCTTACAATTCACATGATGTAAGCAAATTGCTCTCTCAATCTATTACTCTCAGAACAGTACCTAAATGCTCTCCTTTTAAGCACTAAAGGCTGCCATTTTAAAATGCTATGAGTCACTTGATGTATATGGGATAAACAAATGGCTGTGTATTGGCTTGTAAATATCTGTAGTCATTTGCCCATCTCTAAGTATAATGCATATGTATAAGAAATGAGTCTTTTTATAGCTTTCTGGTTTCAAGTGTAACACCATCCGTATGGGATATTATTGATTGCAGGCAAAAAAATGTCCAATATCCAACTGCTGCTCTACTGTGAGTAATAAGTTGAGAGAGAAATTTGATTACATCACAAGGATTATAAGAGGGTCAGGATATGAGCAAGAATTAGTGGAATGCCTAATAAAGAAACATTAGCAGGATACCCAGGCTAGGAGATATGTGAAGAATTGGGATGGCTATAAAATAATGAATTATAATGAATCTATTAAGTATGTTTATAGGAGAACAATGAATGATGCTTGGATTAAACTTTACTATAAAAGGAACCTAACTTTATATAAGCTCCTCCATTATGACAAGGATAAGTTATGTCCCATAGATGTCACCAGGGCATTGCATGTAAATTCAGTATCATTATATGTTTAGCAAGATGTGCCAATCATAACAATATGTTAAGTGCAGTTTGAATTTTGCAGATTATAACTGAGTTTATTTCTAAAAAAATGTAAATTTTAATTATTCTGTATCATTACTTTCTGCATCAAGTTTTAATACTAAATATGTCAATATGAGCAGTTATTGTACTTTTCTTATACATTTTTATTGATAATATATGTTTACTAAGGTATAGAGCTATAGAAGCCAGTTGTTTATTTTAAAAAAGTAGAGTAAAACTGGATCCACTCACCAAGATTCGTTTTTAGAAATTTATTTCACATTTTAGATACTTCAACTTGGAGTGAAGGAAGAGTTGATTTATGTTATGTAAGAGTGTTGAATGTTATTTAACAAAATTTCAGTCCTTAAATGTTTGATATTATTTTTACTTATAACTTTAATGCATATTTTTAATTTAGATAAAATAATATTTTTATATTAAAACAAATACATATTCAATGTGTATTTAATACAAAAAAACTTAATACATTTTATCTAAATTAAAAATATCAATTAATTTTATGGTATGAAGTTAATTGATAAATGGAAGGAAAAGTAGAAGAGATTTAAAAATATAAATATTTTAAATTATTGTCATATTTCTTAATTATAAGCAAAAATTAATAATCAATATTCTCAAAACTAAATTAATTAATTTTCATAAGCAGATTTATCAATGAATACTTATTTCAGTATATGATTATAACTCATAGTGAATTTGATTATATTCATATTCATTATTGTACATTATTTACATGTAAAAATAAATATAACCTCAAAAGTAAAATAATTACAATGATAAAGAAAAAGAAAAGTTTAAAAATGTAGATTTATAGGTTTACAAATTTTCATATATGATATGATGTGTCAGGTGCATGATTAGCATATTGACAGTAAAGTATGTAATGCACAGATTATGCTAATGCAGATTTTTATATTTGTTCAAAACTTTTAATATTTTACTTATAATCTTAATAATTTTATTGTATTTGTTCAACAACAGTTTTCTTTAAAATTTGGTCTGCATTTTACATTTTTATTGTATTAGATTACAAATATTTTTAAAAATCATGTCTATCAGAAAATTAAATTAATTTCAACATAAATGTTACAAAGTAACTTTTATGTTGAAATGTGAATAAAACTAATACTAAAACTAATAATAAAATGTTTTGTATATAATTAATTTTTTTTATTAGTTACCTAATTGATTTTTATATTTATTTTTAGATGATCAGCTATTTGCAAAATATCACTCTCAACTTGCATCAGCTTCTGTTCTTTTATGTAATGCATTACAAAAAGCTATGCAAAGTAAGTTATTTAAAATTTTTAAAATATTTTTTATCAATATTTAATATTTTTTACATTATACATTATTACTTTGACTTTACAATGTTATTTAAACAAATGTTATAAATTGAAAGAAAGAATACTCAAGTATTTTTTCTTTCAATTTATTCTTTTTTAATAGTATAAATTGTTGGCAATTATGCTACATGTTTCTATAATGTAATTAATGATTCATGTTGAAAAGCTTTATAAATTATCAAATACAATGGTACAATATTTAGTTTTCCTGATAATTCAATATTATAAATATTGAAAAAATAGTCTTACTCAAATACTAAAGATAGTAGAATTTTTTAACAACTTCATAAAGCTTTTTCTGTAAAAGATGAAAAATAAGACAATAAAAAAATCTTAATTAGATTGAAAATAATTAAAAGACCAAGATTATTTGCTCTTACTTCTAATTCACTACATTCATCAAACATTCAACTTGTTTATTGGATCTTATACAGATATTTATTCTTCAATAATTGATATATTGTTTGTAATAATAGATAATATATTAGTAATAGAGCAATATATCAATAAAAGTAAGCATACAGAAGGTATATAACTTTTTTATTTCAGGCAATACTCTTTCAGAAGATGAAATTACACCTACTGCTGCTCATTCAGCATTAAAATATATTATAAATGAAGTTATTGAAGATGTACAAATGTTGCCTATTTTCAAGGTAAGTTAATTAAAAGTATAATTATAAGAAATATTATTGTTTTTGTGTAAGCACAATAAATATGAAGTACAAAATAAAATTTTAAACTTTTGACATAAACGAAAATTGTTATTTTATCATGTTATCATCATACTGATATAATAACTGTTACAAATTAATACATATTTGAAGCAAATAATATAAATCTGACTTGGCCAATAAGTTATTTTTGGTTGATGTTAACCAAATTTAATCAAATGGTAATTTTCATATTTTCCATGGAGAAATTTTTAACTATCATTACAGGTTGGTATTGCATTGTTATTGCTCCATAAGATTATAGATGATTGTCCTTTGTTTCTAGTTACAGAACAGTGAAATATGCATATGCAGATACTAAATAAAGAACATGAAGTGGTTGTGCTTTTTGTAATGATAGTCATAGCTAGGTTATGTTTTTTTTAGAAGTTGTTTTGTTATGCCTGTAACAATTTCAGTTACATGGAAAATGAATGCATAAAGAAAAGCAGAACTTATTTCTGTGATGAATGAAAAGAAATAGTTTTTGATATTGTAAAATAAATGTAAAATGTAAAATAAGTATGTAATGTCTCAATATCCTTATAGAAAAAGTATCTAAACTGTTATTATAGTACAGTAAATAAATATAAAATAATGCTGCAAATATAGTTATTATATTAAATAAATATGCAAATAAGAATGCCCAATTTGGCCAGATTTAAGAATGCCAATTTGGCCAGTCATTTAGGAAACTAGTTAACAATAAACTACATTAAAATAGCATTTTTGAAAGAATATGACTATTTTATTTTTCAGACACCAGCTTTTTGAAAGAAAGTAACTAAAAATGATTTTAAAATATTGTGTTAATTTTAAAAGATGTTAGTCATAGTTTTAAACAATTATGTTGTATTAACTGATTATTTTTATTATGTTAGTAGAATTTGGATAACTTCTGAAATTTTTAAAACTATTGTTTTGCTTGCTTTTTATCAGTTTCACAATGTACAGTTTATCCATTAACCATAATATTTTGATTCAATTTTTCATGACGATTTACATAAACGGTTTTAATTTTGTATATTATTTGAATTTAATGCATTTTTGTCATACCAAATAGTGTTCTTCCAAAATTATATAATATAAGATACTTTTTTAATTTGATAGACTATTATAAATTGAATTTGTTATAATTTCTGATAGAATATTTAAGTAAATTATAAATTTGGAAATAGCAGTTTTAATAGAATATTGAATGAAAACTTAATATTCTAAAATATATTATTTATTCATACTGAAGTAAAATATATGTGAAAATTATTAAAATTTACATTAATACATTTTTGAGTTTTTAGTGTATACAAGATTAGTTATAAATAAATAGATGGCAAGAAAATATGTTTTTTACTTAAAATTTATCCAATTATGAATTAAAAATAATTTTTTATATTTTATTATAATATTTGAGAGAATTATATAAGAATTTATAATATATTACATTCTTATATATTTAGTGATAACTATAATTAATGTAAAATATATAAGTTTATATAAAAAAAATTAAACAATAAGAATATAATTATATTTTTTGTTGTACAATATTAAAACTGATGATTTTCAATTGCTTACAAATTTCTCGTATACAGTATATTAAGGCAAAAGTGTGCTATCATAGGACAAGAATAAAATGCAATTTATTTGACATAGAAGAGTGTTTATTGATATACTTAAATCACAATTAAATACTTTAATAATTAATAACTATGTCAAGCAAATGCTTTGATTTATTTAATAAGTTTCTTCAATATACATGTTTAAAAAATTCTACAGTTAGGATAAGACAAAAAATTGAAAATTTCAAAGATTTGAAAAGATAATTGAATCAAATGAAGAGTTTTAATTAGAGTTTAATTCTGTGTCCCAATTGTTCAAAAATCTTTTTCCTATGGATTTAGTCCATCACTCAGCTCAAAGGAAAATAACTTCTATTTTGTGTGTTATGTTTAGACAGCAGATGAATTGTCATTTCATAATACTATTCATACAGGTTATCATTTTTATTGCATCACTTTTTTGACATCAATAAACATATACTAAATAAAAAATTTAGTTTTTACTTATAAAAATTATAATATGGTATTGGAAATAGCTTCAAATTTTAATTTTTTCAAGTTTCTGTAGTGTAATGAAATTCCATCATTTTATATTCAAGATAGCTAAATTGCACTATATCATAAACACTAAAAATAAAATTAGACATTTCAGTTGAATGTTTTATGAAATTATCTTTACTGAAAAACATATACTTTAAATATATAAATAACTTTTTATGTGCTGAAATAAAAACTGTATTAACTGAAAAAGTTAACTTTTTTATAATCACATTGGTTAATGCAATTTTTTTCTAATACCTTATTAGATGTTGCTGTATACATTTTTTATACTGATTGTTTCTAAAATTTGGCCATCATATTATATTATTAAGAAATTCTTAATAATAGTAGTAATAATATATTCCTAACATGTACTTACTTAAATTTTAAAAGGAATGTGAAATATTGGCTAATTATTGCTTGACATTGATTTTAAAGTGTATCATATAAAGAAGTGGCAAGAAAAACTTTTTAAACTTTAATATAAATTTTTCTTTTTTACTACCAATAAAATTAATAAAGAAGTTAGCTTTTTATTTTCATATTCTGACATGATAGAAATACTTTGTTTATAGTTTAATCATGAGAAATAACAGATACAACAAAAATTATGATCAAATTTTTCATAAATAAATAAAAATAAATATGGGAAGATATGTAATTTGATTTTTTTTAATGCAATGTAAAATTTTATTTGATTTATTTGCAATATTTTTATAAGAAATGTAATAATTTTGGAGCAGATTTACATAAGTGATGATAAATTAAATTATTGAAGAAACATAATAAAAAAACTCACATGAAAAGTATATTTTGAAGATGTTATTTTTTTAAAGAGATAATTAATAATTTTTTATATTTAATTAATTTTCTGAAATAAATATGCAATAATTATAACTACTAGATGATGAGTCAAAAACTTAATTTACTATTAATTACTTAAGAGAAATTATTTTTTAATATTTTACACTTAATTATTTTATTGAAACAAATCATATAAAACTAATATGTAAGAACATGTTTACATGCTTATTGATTTTTAATTTGAATGAGCCTGTTTTTTTAATTTACATTATTCATTTTTATTTCAAATTTTGAAAATGTCCTTTTTAAGTATGTTGCAATTTTAAAATTATCTATCATTATTTCAGTGCAAAGAACAAATAAATAATATGTTCCTCATACCTCAATC